TAAAAGGTGCGGGATTGTAGGTGTCTGCAATTTGCATTGTTTGGGCTGAAGAACGGAAAGCCATAGCCAGTCCAGTGGCTCGGTGTGGCGGCGACGCTGTGCCAACTCGCCGAGTTAGGTTTGGTGAAAGGAAAAACCGTCGAGTAGGAGAGGAAGGATATGAAGAGAAAGAAGAGGAAGATGAGGGAGAAGAAGTAGAAGATGAATAAGAAAACAAAGGGGAAGCAGACGAAGAAAACTCAGAGAAGGAAGAAAAAGGAAGAGAAAGAAGAGGAGGACGGAGAATACGAAAAATTAAAAGATAACAAGAGAAGGATAAGAAAAGGAAGAGGAAAAAGGGGCATAGGACGTGTCGCGCAGACATTGTGATGGACGCTCAATTCGATTGCGAGGACTAGTTCAAATTAGAGCCGGGCGTGGGTCCAGCCAGCCAGAAGGCAAAGTGGCGCAATTGTCGCACCAAATGTGCATTTCGAAAGCTGATCTCAGCAAGTCCGCTTGCCCAAAGGCCTCTTGACTCGAGGTTGCGCATAGAATGGAAGGCATCCGAGTCGAGTCGACTAGCCAACACTCTGGCTCGACTTAATGAGCGACTCGCAAAGTTGTGTGTTGTGTGTGCGTGTGAGTGTAGGTGGATGAGTGAGTGGGCCGGCGTGGCCTACAAAGGGGCCTAGCTGGCGTGTGACAAGATGAGGCGACACTGCATAGTCGGGTTGACTGATGCCGAATCGACCCATTGTCCGTATCGATCGCACTACTGAGACTTGGGCAAAAAGACCGAGTAGACTGCGCCGACGAGTTTGACCCGCTAGGCTCAATCGCCTGTCGCCGGTGGCCGATTGTGCCGCCAGCCCGCGCTGGAGTTGAAGAGCGCCCGATTAGCCTCAGAATGGCGAGACGTGACTGGCCAACCGCCGAGGCGCGGGCAAAGTCGGTCTGCTCTGCAGCCAGACGTGGGCTTGCGCTTGTGTGTATGCGTTAACGAGAGGGTGCGGTCGGGGCTGGAGAGAGGATGCAATGAAGAGGTGGCGAGGCGATAATAGACGCGAGATTTGGAAACATCTGCCCGCATTTGCGTGCCGAGGCAAGCCTACTCACGTGAGTCGAAGCGGGAGGGGACGGCCTGGCAGGATGAAGGAAAGACTGGTCTCGGTGACACATATGTATGTGTGTGTGTGTGTGTATGTGTGTGTGTGAGAGAGAGAGAGTGAGTACGTTTGTGACTGCGTTGGCGAGCAAAGGCGAGGTTTACGGGTCTCGGACGAAGTGGAAGAGAAGACAAAGTAATGGGTGCCTGAGTGCAGGCATGGCAAACCGAGTGCAGCCGGGGCCAGATGAATGGGACAAATAAATTGAAATTAAACTGAGGAATAAAAAGGAGGGTGTCCCGACTGATAAGCATCTCCAGCTTCAACGGGGTTGGGCGTAGGCTGGCGAGAGTGGGAACGCCTGACTCTGTGACGATGCAACAAGCTAAGCTAAGGCAGGCTAATTGAGCACAAGGCAAGCACGACGCTGAGCACGAGAGAAATAGAGAGAGAGAGAGAAAGAGAAAGAGAAAAAAGAGGAAGGCAAAGGAAGTGAAAGGGAGAAAGAAAGAAAAAAAAGAAAAAAGGGGAAGAGAAAGAGGGGGAGAAAGAAGAGAAGAAAGTGAGAGAGTGAGACAGGAATAAAAAAAGGATGGGGTTCCTTAACATGGCCGCACCGTAGATCGAAGAAGTATGAGGATGGCCTTGCAATTGTGACTGTAAATCTGTGACACAAACACTTCGCTGTAGAACGTGATCATTCTGCTCCGAACTCCGAATAGGCCAATTCACGCATCTCCGCCACTCGCAGGTAGCCAACATCAAGCAAGTTAGCATCATCACCAACAGCTAATACTAAATTAACGATAGCAAAAACAGCAAAAGCATTATCATCATGATCATGATCCTGATCCTCACGACAAATATCACACTGTACAACACCATCATTAATAGCAGAAGAATCCTCATTATCAAACGCAACATCATCACCGTCAACACTTTCATTATAATCAACAACAACATAATTATCAGCAATAACATCATTAGAAATACAAGTATCCATCCGACACCAAACAACCCAGCAAACCAAACAACTTTTTGGAAACGTCAGCTAAACTCATATCATTGTGGGAAAATTCTTCTTCTACCAGTCCTTCATCACCTTGAACAAAATAGAGTGAATACATTTGATATTACTGAATTGCTCACAGTCTCGAAACTCTGCTTACACACGAAAAATAGTTTTATCAGATTGTGCATAAAGAAAAACTTGGTTTCGAAGAATTCCTTAGCGATTTAGTGTGACTCGACTTTTCATTTCGAAAGAACAGTTGGCTAGAAGGAATTCGTGAATTGGTCTCACCAGAAACGGAAGTCGAATAGGCTGCTGTGGATTACGCCAAGAAGTCCCCAGCCCATTGTCTCATGATCTCTGGTCATTCATGTTGATCTTTCATTTTTCCCGTTGTTACATACTTCGTAAGACGTTGGCCTCGCGGTGACGGATATTGGCATCTCTAAGGTAGACAAGATATACTATTTTGCCAAGCCTATTAATTGTTGAGCTG